GACCTAAAAGGAGCCTTCGACTCAGTTGACCGCGAATTCCGTATGTTTTCGCTCGTTCTCAAAGGAATACCGCAGAAGTATGTGAACATATCGCGGGCACTACTCACATACTTCTGGTAACGTAGGGGTCTACGACGAGCTGAGTAGGTCGCTCGAAACTAGCAGTGGTGTTCGTCAACGATGTCCCATTTCACCATTCGTGATCGATTTTGTCGGAGACGAAATACTGGAGAACACACTGATTGGTCACCAAAGTGTTAGTACTAAATGGGTGGCTGGAAACAGTATGGGGCCCTAGCGTACGCTGATGGCCTCGTTGGACTGTTCAAATTTATGTAGGATGCACAAAGCGCATTTGACAGACTTTCAAGGTTTGTAGCTGCGTTCGGCATGCGTTTTGCCCTTCAAAGTGCAAAGTGATGCTGCAGGACTGGTTGTGGACTAGTCCTGTTCTTTGATTATATGGTCGGGAATTAGCTGAAGTTGACTACTTCTCGCACTAGGGTAGTTGCGTGACCAACGATGCTAGCGCATCAGAGGAGATAACCCCTCGCATTTCGAAGGCCCGAGCAACCTATGCGGGACTAATGTACCTGCGACGATGACGTAAAGTTTCACTGAAGGCGAAATATCGCGTATACTGCGCCAATGTTTACGGCTGTGAGACCTTTAATTGACGGGTAGAAGACATACGTTGCCTAGCGGTTTTCAGCAATCTATGCTTACATAGTCCGTCGCAGGTGGGATGGAGGGAGTGGATTGGTAACCTAAAAGAAACTCGTCGGGTGTTTGGGGATGTATCGCACACGAGCTCGTTTTAACGAATTCAGCTGATTAGGCTCCGTTTGTTAGGATACGTTTTGCGTATGGCTAATAGTCGCCTACTGCACTGCGCCTTATTTCCAGTGGCCGCAGCAGACTGGAGGAGGCCACGCGGAGGCCAGCAGATGAAGTGGAGACGAGGTATGAAGAAATGCACAGAGCGATTAGTTAGGGTAGGTGTCTGTTGTCTTCCGGGTTGTGGTCCAAAAGACTCCGTAACCGGAGGGTTAGAGATACTGAAGGTGGAGATCTTAGTGTCACTTCTCATCAGAAAACGTGTGTCTGCACAATTGGACTGTGCACTCTGTGTTGATCATAGAGATCCACTTTTCCTGTCCCTAAAAATAGGCCCAATTCATCTCACACATTCTCAATTACCTTGTATGCATTATGAGTTTGGCAGCGATCAGTGAAGTGCGTTTTACTGTTTTACACTGGACGATAGTGATGATGATTTCCCATCGATTTTGTGGGCACTCTAAGGAAATAATTTTCTCAGACTTAACGTCAACTCGAGAGGTAATTGTGGCTGTACGATAATAATAATTATGACTTACTGTTGTAATATTAGACCGTTCCAGTTCAGTACTGTAGTTTTAGTGAGCCCTATGTTCTTTGGCACTTCCGGCTGTACTTATTGTGTCATTGTTTTCCTTATTCCTTTTATACTTGTGACTGTTGTTTTATCTTTCCGTTTTGTATCGCATTATGGTGTAATAAACATGCTGGCATTGTTTCGACGGTAAGTGGCATCAGGTTTTTCAGAGTTTATGCAACGGACTATCAACCTGAGATTTTGAATCGTCGCGTTTTGTTGATTGTTCTTCATTAAAGTTTCTTTCTTTGTTGCAGGATTTGGATTTCCAAAGCTATCGACTGACGCATCTCCCACTCACACGCTCTATACCACTGATGATATTTGGATACTCCGATTTTTGTCCTCCCTGTCATCGTATTCAACCACTGTGGTCTCAATTGGCTGATGAACTCACCCCGATGGGTGTCTGTTTTGGTTCTGTTAATTTGGAACACGATGCCTCGTTACGTGACGAGTTACGTGTTTTTCATGTTCCCACGGTGATTATTGTTGTTGATGGAAAGGTATGTGCTTCAATCCACTGCGTGCACTACTCGGATTGTGTCGTTTGATTCGAATAAGACAACTTACTGGTTGATTGGAAAACCTTAATGTAGCGTGTAAAAATACGCTAAAACACTTTACCGAGAAAATGCTAGCATTGTTCGCTGTCGTAAATTCCGTTTTGGACTGTTTACCTTAAATGAATTTACACACGATGCTGTTGAGGGCCTACACTGAATCCATTCGTTCAATGATTCATTTAACGTTCATTCCTGAGCATAATGACCGATTTATCGATCCATCTTGATGTGATTCGCTTCCTTACTCGACTGACCGAGGTCAATTAGACATGGGTTCGTTCATTTGCGTCTAAAGCCCACTCGATCAACGGTCAAGGACAACGTTCCCGAGTGTGGCGGGGGACGAGCGGTCGAACCCCACTCCATCGAAAACTTTGACCTCGCCCGTGAACTCACTCAAAAAGTAGTTTTGTTTGTCTACGCAGAAATTACTTCATTCCGACTAGAGAGGGTTTTGGTACACCCGATCCAATTGGGGACTTGTGACGGCTGAAACACCAATCAGTTTGTGGTGTTCCCAGTAGATTGGTATTAGTTGGATTCACTTGAAGTTATGGTGAATTCACTTGAAATTACGACGGTTTCATTTGAATTTGAATAGGTATAGAGTTAGTGCATCAAGGCTTTATTAAAAATAATTGGTTGACGTATGGAATCATTTTTAAAGACTGGAACGATGAAAAGATGAATTTTTTGTTGAAACTCTAATTACACCAACCCTCGTGATACCATTAGTTCATCGAAACGGAAGTGGCATTAGCGAGATTTCATTGTACTTGAGAGACAGTGTTTCAGTTCTTACATTGTGACAAGTAATGACAGACGGCTGAAAAAAATGAAATTTCATAATGAACGAGCGTTAGTTTTTCATATTATCGTCGAAGGTGAAAGCCCTGCTCATTGTAGAAAACACACTGTGCATGTAAACCTCGTCCAGCTTTAAAAACGTTGAAAATCGATATCACTATTGGAAGTGAAAGAAAGCTTTTGTCAGGAGGGAACGTATATCTATTGATTAGAAAACAAGGGAAACCCTATTTGATGTTCGTCCGTTTTTCTTGAGCTTCCATTCACTATAGTGTAATTTCCTTTTTGGATAATTTAGGTAAAACATTAAGCTTGCTATTGCCGCTCATTTATGCAATCTGCTTTTTAATTATCTGTATTTTGTTTGAATGACAATTTTCAATGACTTCTATTGTATTTTCTTTTCAGCCTACATATTTTACTCAGTCAGGGTTCACCCGCGATAACCTCGTGAATACTTTGAGGAACGCTCTTCTTCAGTCCAATCCCTCACGGTCTAAAGCTGTTCCATCTTTTCTCAGCACAACGCTAGATACACCACTTATCCAAACAATCCGT